GTCAGGATCTTCGCATAAGGCCCTCTGGAAGTCGTAAACGCGATTAAAACGCGTCTTAAGGTCTGGTTGTCGTTGTACGAATCGATGGGCCCAGAGCTTGCCGACGCGTCTTCCCCCCCGCGATTCAAGGATAAAATTAGCCATATCTTCTACACCAGCGAGCCGGGGCGCAAATCCTCTGGAATCCATATCCAGTATATACCGAATAATCACTTCCTCTTCTAACTCAGTCAACTTATGACAATTGGCTTGAGAATCTGGGCGGTAGGTTCGGCCAGCCATTCTGTCGGAAAGAGTCGTATATGGTACATTGTAGATCTTTGCCGCAGAGCGTTTGCTTAGTTTTTTGGACGACCGAATAGCCTTGATAGCTAGAGTAATTCGCGCTTCTTGAGTTTGAATTTCCATGGTAAATAGTTGAAGAAAACGTGTGTTGAAGTTTGAGGAGGTAGTGCCAAGGAAAAGTGATCGACTCGCTGATATGATCGACTCGCTGATAAACCACGTTATACTAATTCTATTATATTCGAAGTTAAACCCCTTATATATTGTATATCTAGAATAGGGTATTTATCATTATAACTAGGAGGTTCCTTCTCGGAAAATAACTCTTTAGCTCGAGGTAATATATAAAGGTAAGCCTAAAGTTCTAGACTATTAGTAAGTATAATATCTATTAAAGTAGTTGTTGTGCTGGGTCTACTTTCTCTTTTGCTCCACTTCCTTATTTGATCCACTTATAGTTCTGCTGCCTAAATGCTTCATGTCTACCTAAACCTTACACTCTTTATATAAACACCTTAGATAGCTAGCAGCTACCTTTTACAATGCAATCAATTCTCCATGACCTTCAGTACCCAATACCCTTTCAACCCAATAGTAGTCTATACTATAAGAGTCTTTATCTTACTAATATATCTCTCTATTAGAAGATTATAAGTAATAAATACTATACCTAGATCCTATACCTAATCTACTAAAAAAAATATTAGCTTATTACCTATTAAACTTAGAATCTTAATATTACCTAAATATAATATTAAATAGTTATTAATTATATACTACTTTATTCTATTTAGATCCCCCTTATAATACAACTTCTTATAAGTCTTAAGCTATTCTCTATATAGGTTCTAGAGCTTGTTAACTTCCTTATAAGAGATAATATAAGAGGTAACTAAAGTATATATCTATTATAATATTATAAAGTATAATAAGTATAGCTAAAATACCTTAGTTTTTAAAAGAAATATAACGTTATCTCTTGCTAGAAAAGTTTCCTAATTCTTAGCTTTATAATCAGAATAATACTTATTAATTAGCTAAGGTTTCTTACCTAAATTAGTTAGTATACTTAGTTAAGATACTCTTTATATATTACTAATTACTTTCTACTAGGCCTTAGATATTATATAAGAGAAGAATTTATTTATAATAAGACCTCTTTTACTACCCCTTTTTATACCTACTCTATTATTTAGATTTAGCTTCTAAGACTTACTAGGGATACTACTCTTCTTACTTATTTCTTTACCTTTATTCTTTTTATCTTTACTAATATAACCCTCTTATATCTTATATAATATTATTCTAATATTATATAAAAATATATATATAGAGTTAGTAGAAAAGCTATAAGTCTAGTAAAGACCTTATAGTTTATATAAGATAGATATACATATAAATCTTATAGCTTTTCTAATTTCCTTATCTCTATTATACTTATTTTACTTAGTTATTTCACCAATAGTATTAATTTATATCTTAGGGTTACAGATCTTATTATATATATAAGGAACATGATAATACCTATTTATTTTACTTTATATCCTAGGCTTTATATAAATACTATATACTTATAAGATATTTCCTAGCTCTTTTATTCTTAATAACTCCTTATAAGCCTTTCTATCTACGCTAATAAGAATATACTAAGCTCTTAGAGTAAACTTCGATTATAGTTTATTCTTATAATCTAGTATCCCCTACTTAAGCTATAGAAGTTCTTTAATTAGTAGAAAAAGAAATAAATGAATAAGTTTTAGTTTTTTAGGCCCTAGGATTAAATAGGTAAGTAATATATATCTATAGGTGTATTAGAGGTATAGTACTAAGTTTAGGTTCTTAAGAATTACTAGTATTATATAATATTAGCCTTTAAATAAGATATTAGAACTGTCCGCTATTATTTAGAATATAAAGTCTATAGGTATATATTCTTATTAGCTTAATATTAACTTGAATAGATATTTACTTATCTTTAAAATAACCTCTTCTCGCCTCTATAATATAATCTATATAAATCTCTATAGAAAATATTACTAATCTATCCCTCTAGACCCTAAATAGTTTACTTATAGTAATAGGTCGCTAATATCTTACTAAGCTCCTAATCTTTATATATCGCCTTTAATCTTAGGATTATTAGATAATATAACTAGGTTTGTTTAGGTAAAGTCTATCGAGGTTTCTTATAATATAAATATTATTTAAGGTATATATAATCCCTAGTAAATACTATATACCTAGTAATATAGTACTTATACTACTAAGGACTCTATCCGTTCTTATTTCAAAGTATCTCTTAAACTTAATAAATACTTAGAATAAACACTTTAATAAGCTTTATAAAACTACTAAGTTTAATCCTTTTAGAATATAGAAGTTCTTATTAAAGTTATAACTAATATCTATATATTATATTAAGCTCTAATACTATTATTTAATAAAAGTTATTATTTCTAATTAAGGTTTAATATACTAATACCCTACTTATAAAATAGTTTATTTAGATCTTCTAGCTTTTTTTCTCTTACCTCTTTATCTTCTAGCTCTTTATCTCCTACTCTACTATTACTTATAGCCTTCTCTTAGCCCTTTTTATTCCCTAGGATTTTAGGACCTTTATTTATTCCTTTATTAAGACTAATTATATAAAGAATTTCCTACTCTTGTTATTATAAAGCCTTATTACCTATAACCTTATCTTTATTCCTAAAACCGATAAGTACTCCTTTATCTATACTCTATCTTTAGTTTTAGTTAAAACATCTCTTTAGTAATCTTAGTTATACTAATAAGTTCTCTAAGGGAATAAATATTATATTTATATAGCTAGTAATCTTGACTAGGTAATTACTCTACGTAATAATAGCTAACTCTAGTAATATATTATATAATAGTTCTTAGATCCTAGAATTTTATGTTGCTATTTTTTATATAAAGACATAGTACTTAATAAGAACTCCTACCTCCTTATAATATATATATTAATCCTTTATTCTATTCTATTTTAAAAAGTAAATACTAGAATCTACAATAAAATCTAAAAAGATATTATATTTATATAAGAGTAAAACGATAAATAAAGAGTTAACATAATAGATTTATAGAAAGATATATATAGTAAATATTCCCTCTACTTTTAAATAAACTTTACAATCTTATAATTAAACTAAGAACTAATATAATAAATTAAATACTAGATATAACCTAAGAACCTAGTTTTTGATAACTAGGCTTAGATGTCACGAATCACGTGTTACCACGGGAGATAGTGAAGACCAGGCGGCGCCCTGACAGGTCGAGCATTATCATAACTCTTATAGCAGAAGGGGATCCTTAGGCTAGCTAAGCGATCCATGGATTTCGTCGGATTAAAGTACCACGTGACCATGATCGCTTCAGTCGCCTGAGTCGCCTGTCGACTGAAGCGACTGAGGCGAGCGACTAAA